TTATTATCTATATCTATCATTTTATCTATTATTCATCTATCCTCTATTATCTTTCTTATCTACCTCTACTATCTCTGTCTATCAATCATCTGTCTACCAACTTATTTTGTGGTATTGGAGAGGAAAACAGAGTTTCCTGGGTGATTTTATTTTATTTTATTTTTTTGTTTGTTTGTTTTTGCCTGTGAACTTGACACAAGCTAGAATCTGAGAAAAGTGAACCACAATTGAGAAAATGCCTCCATAAAACTGAGCTGTAGGGCATGTCCTTAATCAGTGATTGATGCCCAGCCCACTTGGACACCCCTGGACAGGTAGTCCTGGGAAGTATGAGCAGGCTGAGCAAGCCATGGGGAGCAAGCCAGTAAGCAGCACTTCTCCGTGGCCTCTGCATCAGCTCCTGCCTTGAATTCCTGCCCCTACTTCCTTCCACGATGAACGGAGATGTGGACGCATTAGAAGACACAAGCCCTTTCCTCCTCGAGCTGCCTTTGGTCATGGTGTTTTGTCACAGCCACAAGAACCCTGATTAAGACACGGGACTTGTTCCATGCCAAACATACAGTCTACTACTCCCACTGAACTGTACTCTGAATTCTTAGTCCTTCATTTAAAATTCTTTTTTAAATTTTATGTACATTGGTGTTTTGCCTGCATGCATGTCTGTGTGAGAAAGTCCCATCCGCTGGAACAGGGGTTACAGACAGTTGTGAGCTGTCGGGTGGGTGCTGGGAATTGAATCCAGGTCCTCTGGAAAAGCAGTCAGTGTGCTCTTAACCACTGAGTCATTCCTACAGCCCCCTTCTTCATTTTTTTAAAGCTATACCCCAGCCCTAATATTTTTGGACAGATACACACACATGTATATACTTATTCTCATATTGTATATATGTATATACAGAAATATAGTCTCTAGATATCCAAATCATATATTATATATGTGCAATTAATATATGCATATGATGAGAATTAAGAATCCAATGAAAAAGTAACACATGTTCAGGAGACATTTTTCAAGAGTTCTGATAGGCTCCTGGAATTCATTTCAAGTGAACATCCAACATAAGCTCCTAATTATTGCATTCTGCCCTAATGGCATTCTGGGTCCCGAAGCTCATCAGAGTCAGCATTGCCTGGAGCCTCACTTATCTGGAGCCTCCCTTATCTGGAGCCCACTGTGGCTCCCACCTCCACTTCCATGGTGTGTGCTCTGAAGCACAAACATTTTAAATTTGATAATGAAACCCATTATTTTGTACAAATAACATAAGCTAATAAATTTTTAAAAAGTTGGATGCAATCCAATTTTCTGTTACTAATTAGTGTTTTATCCATCTGTACTGCCTCCACCCTGGTCCTGTGTAATCATCTCTCCATGAGCAGTCAAAGGAGTAGTGTGTGTGTGTGTGTGTGTGTGTGTGTGTGTGTGTGTGTGTGTGTGTAGACAGGAGTAGATGTTGGATTGTTGGGTGTCTCCCATTGCGCTCTACCTTCTTGTTTTAAACAGGGTCTCTCTCTCTCTCTCTCTCTCTCTCTCTCTCTCTCTCTCTCTCTCTCTGTTTTTTCGAGACAGGGTTTCTCTGTGGGGCTTTACAACCTTTCCTGGATCTCACTCTGTAGACCAGGCTGGCCTTGAACTCACAGAGATCTGCCTGCCTCTGCCTCCCGAGTGCTGGGATTCTCTGTCTAATGCTCCGTGAAAGCAGTGTGGGCCAGACCACCGATCCTGCTCAGAAACTTCCAGAAAGAATTGAAAAGAACCTTGGGTTTGGTTCTGAAGGATGACCAAGATACCTCCCAGGTGGTCAAGAGGAAGGAAGTCCTCTAGGCCAAGGGTTTTATGAAGGTGTGTGAGGATGAGGAAGCTGGCAACGGGTACCAAGATCAACAACAGCCAGCAAGTCCCACGGGAGGCAGATGAGAAGCGTTTGGTTGGGAGACACAGAGGGGCACTGTCAGCTGGGGAAATGGCAGCTTGAAGTGGCGAGGGTGTGGCCGACGCCCTCCAGTGAGAAGAGCCAGGGTATTGCTGATACTTCAGTGTGGGGACCATTGGGTGTGGGTTGCAACTTCTCAACTCTCTACCTAGGGCATCGGGTGGCTGAGTGCTGTGGCTGGAGTCGAGAAAAGCCTCGCAGCCATTTCACATCTGAGTTCCATCGAAACTTCAGCTGTCGTGAACTAGCCTGCTGTTGATGTTTCCACTGTGGGACGAGGTCAAAACCATTCTAAGCTGAAGGGCGCTACAAACACAGGCAGCGTTTAGAGGTGTTTAGGGGCCACAGTTGGCTAACCTGTGTCAGAGGGTAGCTGGGAGAGGGACTGAGGAAAAGGCTGGGAAAGACTTCAACGGAGGAGCTTCAATTTTTCTTCATAGACAACAGGAAAACACTGGGGGAATTTCCACCCCATCTAAGGGGTCGGGGAGACTATGGATGGGCCCACATCCTGGGGGAAGAGTGATTGGTTTTGTTTTGTTTTTGAGAAAGGATCATTACATAACCCAGTCTGGCTTCCAATTGGCTCTGTAGCCCAGGCTAGCTTCAAATTCAGACGCTTCTACCTTGGCCTTCCTGGTGTTGGGATTACAGGCATGTACCACCACAGCCCGCTGTGGAGACAGTGATTTGATAAAAGAAAATAAATAATTGCAAGCACCCTTTAAAAGCTATTTTAGCAAAAGCTATTTGCATATGGAGTGCTAATTAAACTTTTTTTTTTTTAATTTGGTTTGTTTTGCTTTTCCCTGAAAACAAACCCCACCCTCTGCCGGCACTTGTCTGTAGTATTCCAAGTGCTTGAAAACAACAAATGGCATCTCCTTAATTACCGTAAGACAAATAATATTTATTAACACAAGTTGCCTTTGCTTGCATAACACAGTGTATCGGGGCTTTAATCCTATGTGTATTTACTTCCAGGAGGGTGACTCAGAGTTGGGAGGGCCACTGCTCTGCTGCTGGTGGCAGGGAAGACAGAATTATATTCAAAGTGGGCCGGCAAATACCGAAAGCCTAGACTCTGAAAACAGATGAGTGCGTATGTACATAAATACACTGCTTTTGTGTTTGCTGACTTAAAGGATGGACAGCACACAGCCTGCAAAGCAGTCCAAGTTATCTACTCTTCTACTCATGAGTCCTGGATAGCTAATTGATTCTCATAGATGCTTACATTGATTTTTTTTTTTGCCAAGTGCCTGCCTCCGTATCCAGTCTGCAGTTTAACCATGACTGGACAAAATAAAATGTAGAAGAAATGTTTATTATCCAACTCAGTCAGCAAAGAACTTGCTGGTGTCGTTGACAAATGAGCCCAGCCGGGATGTCGATGCCAGTTGGCATTTGTTTATGCTAAAGAGCGAGCAGGGCTGAAGTGAACAGGGAAAGATGTCTGTTATAACCTCATCTGCCCAGGATGCTAGGGGCCTCCTTGCTTCATCATAACACAGTTGGCGAATACTGGCGGCCTTTCCTCTCAAACGTCTTCATTCCTCACACCCGGGAGCTAAAGAACGCATTCACAGCACTCGGCTATTTGCTTGGCTTAGACAATCAATGACACAGTCACTTCAGCCATGATTAGCCGTTGCCCATTTCTCTGGTGTAAATACTCCTGACGAGCAATTTCAAGCTGCCACAGGATGGAATTGGGAGATGGGGCCACACCGCCACCACCACGTAGGATTTCTATCAGACACGAGAGAGAACCCAAACCCACGGCATTCCTGAATGTGTGACAGAGGCTCACTTGACTGCCCCCCCCCAGTCTCCAGCAGAAAGCTCATTGATCTAGACCTCCTCTTGCATGTCAGTGCCGAGAGCCGAGAGAGAGACCTCATTAAGATGACGAAAATGAATGGTCCTCGTGTGCCGTTCTGTAAAATTAGCTGAGAATAGATCTGCTTGTCATCCATGCTCTAAAATCAGTTCTGAAGGCGGATCCAGAATACACTCCTTTTCAAATGTCTAGGCCTAGGCTGGGCACGGTGGCACATACTTCTAATCCCAGTGCTCAGGAAAGCAGAGGCAGGCAAATCTCTGTGAGTTTGAGGCCAGCCTGGTCTACAAGGAAATTCCAGGCTAGCCAGGAACAAACACAAATGCCTAGGCCCAGGGATGAGCTTCTCAGCAGTAACATACCTCTTAAGGTATTTTCCTTCTGTGTTGACATAAACACAAAACACGGGTAATGGGGTCACGAATGCTAGAGCAGAGAAGTACTTTAATTAGGGGCTCATCCAGGGCCCAGCTCAGTGGAAGAACACTGGTTAAAAGGGGTGTATGCAGAGAGATGGTCCAGTGGTTAAGAGCAGGTTCAATTCCCAGCATGGATGCTTACAACCATCTGGAATTCCCGTTCCAGGGCATCCCATGCTCTCTCTGGTCTCTGAGGGCACGGAATGCATGAGGGCAAACCCCAACACCCCCCCACCCCCCCGCACATATAATAAACACAAACATTCCAAATGTGTGTCTGTGTATTTCAAAGCTGAGCCTGAAGGGGTGGTAACTCAGCAGCTAAAGGCACTTGTTGCTCTTCCAGAGGAATGGGGTTCAGTTCTCAGCACCCACACGGTGGCCTACAACAATCTGTAAGTCCCGTTCCAGGGCATCGGACACCTCCCTGGTCTTCATGCACACCAGGCATACAGAGGGTGCACAAACATGCAGACAAAACATCCAGGCACATAAATAAACATGTCTTTTTTTTTAAAGCTGGTGCAAGCCACTCTTATTATTTTTATATATGAATTAGCTGCAGCTCAAGGAAGTTAACTTACTCAGCAAAAAGTAGACACTAAGATCTAGATTTTCATGTGTATTATAATTGTGCATGGCCAAACCCTTCCCTGCCTCTGACCTCAGTGCATGAAAGTGAGGCAAGTGACGGATACATGCAGCTGTCTTTCACCTTGGGAGCAACTAGGGCCCTTTCACAACATTTTTTTTTGAGGGGGGAAGTACTCTATAATGTGGAGGAGAAACTCCCAGCAATGCTTCCTTGTTCACATCACGGGGTGCTTTGGGGTGATTTATTTTATTGCACCATTTGCCATACAGTTCCTTTAAGGCACAGACCTGTTCATTCCAAGTGTAATCATTTACAAGTTAACAGCAAGCGAACTGGAAAGGTCTGCGACAAACCAGTCAACCCTCCAGGAAAATCTGGAGCGAAGAACATATTCCCTCCCCCCCCGCCCCCCTCGGTCAGAGAGTGAAAAGTCTCAGGGTCTTGTGATCTCCCAAAGGCAGAACCTTCCTTTGGAAAATGGGCCATCAGCCAGTCTTGGTGGGCTGCCGGGTGTGGGCTCTCCTCTCTTTCTTCTTCCTTTTGGTTTCCTGAGAGGAATTAATTTAAAAGATGAAGGTTTCTGTTGGCTCACAGAATCAGAGGTTTCAGTCCTCCATCACTCGGCCCTGCTGCTTTGGGGCCCCGCCCCGTGGTGAGGTATGACATCATGAAAGAATGCAGTGGAGGGAACCTGCTCACTTCGTGACTCCGGGGTCCTCTTCCAGAACAGGCCTGCGAGATCTAGTAACAGTTCCTCCAACAAGACCCCACCTGCTCCTGGTTCCACCTCCCGGAAGCACCGTCAAGAGGATGCTGATGGTGCCGTCGAGGTCTGCGTGCCTTTATCCAGAACTTTTTAACTCTTCAAAGTCTCAAAACAATCTAGTTATTGTTTCTGAGAGAGGCTCTCACTGTGTAGCCCAGGCTGGCCACAAAGCTCACAGAGATCTACCCGTCTCTGCCTCCACAGTGCTGGGATTAAAGGTGTGTGCCCTGAGGCCTGCCAAGGATCTAGTTTAAATAAAAAAAAACTCAGTGATGACGTTGATTTGAAATGGATTGGTATGATTACGCACAGTTCTTGTTTATCCCAACATTTCTGCTACTGTTTGGATGTGGTTTGTCTCCTAATGGTCCACAGGTTGGAGCCTTGGCCTTGGTGTAGCGGTGGGACTGAGGAGGGGCCTAGCTGGAGGTCGTTAGGGCATTGTGGGTACTATCCTTGGAAGCATTAAGGTCGTTTTCTTGGGACCTCTATTAGCTCTCATGAAAGAGAGTTTATTATAAAACAGAGTTTGGGGGACTGGCCCTGCCTCAGCTGAGTCTACCAGGCTGGGCTGACTCCCCAGGGGAGACCTTGCCTTGGAGGAGGTGGGAATGGGGGGTGGATTGGGAGGGAGGGCTGGGGGTGGGAGGATGGAGGATGGGGGAATCTGTGGCTGATAAGTGAAATTAAGTTAATTATAAAATAAAAATATTTAAAAATAGCCTTTAATCCCAGCCCTCGGGAGGCAGAGGCAGGTGGATCTCTATGAGTTCGAGGGCAGCCTGGTCTACAAAGCGAGTTCCAGGAAAGGCGCAAAGCTACACAGAGAAACCCTGTCTCGAAAAACCAAAAAGAAAAAGAAAAAGGAAAAGGAAAGAAAAGAAAAAATAAATGAATAAAACAGAGTTTGACTCTCTGGCTCACAGTCTGTGATCAATCCAATGCTACCACCTACCACAGGCCACATGGATGGGGCTGCTTGATCCTAGACGTAGGCTTCTGTCCTGGTTTGTTTTCTGTTGTGATAAAACTCTGAACCTGAGGAAGGGAAGGGTTTATCTGGGTTGCAGGTTAGAGACCCTCAACCAGGAAAGCCCAGGCAGGAACCTGGAGGCAGAAACTGAAGCAGAGGCCATGGAGGAGTGCTGCTTAGTGGCTTGCCCTTCTTGGTCTCTGCAGATCCTTTCTTACACAGCCCAGGCCCGCCTGCCTAGGGATGGTACCGCCCACAGTGGGCTGGGCCCTCCTAAATCAATTAGCCATCAAGGAAATGCCCTACAGACGCGCCCTCGGCCAGTCTGATGGAGGCAATTCCTTGAGATTCCCTCTTCCCAGGTACATCTAGGTTTGTATCAAGTTGACCAAACCAACAGTGCAGCCTCCAAAGCCATTGGCTAAAGAGCTTCCCTTCTTACCCTGCTGTTTTTACTGTCTTCCAGGGCTAGGGATGAACCCAGGCCCTGCACACCACAGACAAGCACTACTAACACTCTACTCTACCACTGGCTGCAGCCCAGCCAACCTCCTCTTCTTTATAAATTTCCCAACCTCAGGTATGTTAGAGCGACAAGCACAGACCCATACACCAAGGTTAAATAAAAAGGACCATCGTCTTTTATATGAATTATAATAGGCCCAAAGACATTACAGATTCAGATTTTCTCAGACTTTAAAAAGTAACATAGTTTACATGGTATACATTTTGAACCAACCCTTGCTAGGGTCTAGGACAATACTCTATAATCAAATGCATTTATATTTTACAGTTAAAACATAAATATATGGAGTGGGATAAGGGAGATTGTATATTCCCTCAGTTCAGTTTCAGGACAATTTTATCATGAAGAGTTACTATTATTTGTTTTTTTCAAGACAAGGATTCTCTGTGCCGTCTTGGCTGTCCTGGAACTCATTCTGTAGCCCAGGCTGGCCTTGGACTCACAGAGATCCACCTGCCTCTGCCTCCCAAGTGCTGGGATTAAAGGTGTGCGCCAACACTGCCCAGCAAGAATTATTTTTTAAAACAGATTTTTTCAGGGTTTTTTACATATTTAGCAGTGTCCAGGCCTCTAATAGCAATATCAGCATCCCCTTCTCTTGATGCACTAAAAATATGTAAATGAGGGTTGGGGAAGTTGCTGGGTGCTGAGGCATGTGTCT